GATGGCCCATCAGGAACAACACGGGAATAAATAATAGAAACGTCCTTCGAGTTCCCAGAGAACTAACTCTAGGCCCATTTCACATTTGTCTTTCATGTTTTTTATTAAAGAGGAGCTCTTCTTAAAGAGATATTCCATTTTAGTCACTGCTCTTCTCAGGGAGGACATGTGTGATCCAGTAACTAAAGAAAGCTGAGATTACTCTGGCATGGTCTGGAAAGCAAAAAAAAAAAAATAAAAAAATAAACAAAAAATAAAATGAAGACAAAAAGAAAAATTGTAAGTTGTTATTATTATGTAGACATGAGCCTTTGGGCCCAAAGTGAACTCCCAAATAATCTAATAAAATGCAACTCTGGCATAAAACTGATGTTGAAAGTGACACATTACACCTGCTAATCACACATTATGTAATCATATGGCAACACACTGGCTCAGTTATGAATATTTGTATTTCACTGGGGCATGAACCCTTGGTTCACTGGCTCTATTACACCTGCACTTCAAAACGTTACAGTGCAATATTACAGGCTTAACATCAGACCTGAAAGAAAACCCACATACAAACTGAAATGAAAAGGAAATAGAAGTTTATGTCAAAGGTGAACAAGTAGAAAAAATTCAGAAGTGGAGCCGTAAGTGAGACAACATAGGACCACGTGGTGCCCACGTCATGAAACCAGGGCTGCGGCAGCGCCAGCCAAAGGCAGCCAAGACACCACATCGCGACACCACAATCACCCCTGATGTTACCACAACCCTCAGGGCTTCCACAGGGGGGCTGCGGCTTTGACCTCTGAGCCCGCCGGTCCCCAGGGTCTGACCTCTGAGCCCGCCGGTCCCCAGGGTCTGACCTCTGAGCCCGCCGGCCCTGGCTCTAACGTCTGTGCTCACCGGGCTCACGGCAGGACACTGGCTGCCAGTGAGGGCTCTCCCCAAAGTCAGGTTTTACAGCTTGTGAGGGTACCAAATGCTGCACCTAGAATCTGCTGCTTCTGAAGTTTCCAACCACAGAGAGCCAAGCTACAGACAACAGAAGCCCATCCATGCTCCCTGCCCAGGCGGGCTCCATCCCACCCAGGGGCAAATTGCCTGAGCTCTGGAAATCCCCAACAGTCAGGATGATAAAAATCTAATTCCCTCACCGAGGGTTAGAGGAGGGTGACAATCCCCAGCCCTTCTCAGTGCATGTGCGAGAACACTCAAGGAATGGCGGCTACTACTGATAAGAAGCGTGTGTAACAAAACGTCACAGACGCGGGGGAGCTTCGCCCTGACGCTGGCATCCCAGCTGAACGCAGCCCCCACGACTGAGGAAAAGTAACTGCTGAGCCAGAGAAGCGGGAGAGGAGACACGATCGGCGGAAAACACCCACACCTGCTTTTAAAATGTGATTTCTGTGCTCATACTATGGAGGTGAGGGACACAGTGACTAATTAAATTCCTAAGCTAGTATTATGGAAAAAACCCTTAATTTCAAAAACTATATGCCAAGTCTGCATTAAACAAATACAAAATGTGAAAACGAAGCTTCATTGTTTATAAAATTTTATTTCATAAAATAGCTTGACGTAGAAAAACTGTAAGCACATATCCTACAGAACTCAAAGGAATCCTTTCTTAGAGAAAACAGATTCCTACACACAGTTTAGTTCTATCAGTGGCTTGACGTAAATGTGTGTGTATACAAAACCTGTCCGATGAGTTTAATATAAGAAACCAATTGTTTTAATATTGGGGGTTCTGCTAAATTCGTCTGATGCAAAAAAGAATTGCCAAAACTCCTTTGGTGCATGTCAGAAAAGCCTCAAGTGTGAGAAACAGAACAAAAATTTAAAAAATTAAAAATTTAAAATCGCTTACTTTCATCTCTCATAAAAATCTCCTACCAGTTTAACATAATAAAATTGGCTTTTTTGCGGTTTGAGATAAATCTTATTATGGAAATCTAAGTTTGTTAAGTACTTGCTGTAAGAGGCCTGACGACCAACCAGAAACAGAGATGCCGGCCTGGGGCCAACGCCGTCCTCTCCTGCACACACAGGTGCCACCTTCCCGGTGGGGCTCCTCCCCTCTCCTCCGCTGTCGCCCGTGGGCCCTGCGTTCTCCTCCAGTGTCGTTTCTCATGAGCCCTGGCCACGCTCCTGGTGGGCGTCTGTACTCACTGTCCCTGATCTCTCTCCTCCCTGCACTCCGGGCCCCACGGCCCTCTTGAGCCTCAGAACCCGAGGTCTGACTGGCACCTGCATAGCCACCCAGCACTACGCTCCGGGCAGTGCTCGCACCTCAAACCCGATCCTTCTGGGAGCTCCTCCTCCTCCTCGTGGTGACCTGGTCCTCCCAGTGCCTCGCCGGCCACTCGGCAGCTCCCACTGGTTCTACCTCCACAGTCCACCCGGACATCGGCTACAGCTGCCTAAGCCGTGGCTGCACCTTGGTCCATGCTGCAGGCCCCTCTCAGCAGGTCCTCAGCAGCACCCACCTGGTCTCCATTCTCCACGCCCTCCATCCAGCCTCAAGATAGTAGCCCAGAAGCCTCACAGCCTCCAGGAACCTCCTGTCTCTGCATAGAAGCCCACAAGGCCGCACATGCCCAGGGTCCCATGTGCCTGGTCCTGTCACCTCTCCTCCTTCTGAGACTCACTCAATGCACCTGGCCCTGTCACCCGCATCCCCTGGTCCAGCCACCAGGCTCCTCCCATGTGCCTGGCCCTGTCACCTCTCCACCTTCTGCAACTCACATTCATCCCCTGGTCCAGCCACCAGGCTCCTGGCAGCTCCCCAAACACACGGGTTCACCCACCTCAGCGCAGGTGCACTTGGCTGCAAAAATACCTCCTCTTCCCACTCCTCCACAGCCTCATCTCCAGGATCCACCTGGAGCTCTACGATGCATCTCACCGTGTATCTGGCTTCTTGTCCTTCTTTTCCAGCTCCTCAGCTAGGGAGCGAGTGCCCCAGGGTGGGGTCCCTGCCAGGCTTCCTCAGTGACAGGCTCCACAGCCCAGAGCACCATGCAGGGCAACACACAACCAACACCTTCTCGACGGAGGAGGGCGTTCTGCATAAAGGCAGCTCCTCCGGCACCCACATGCTCTGCACGCCGATGGTCCCTGCAGCCCCCGGCTCCCTGCACCTGTGCCACGGCATTGTCATACCACGGTGATGTAATGCTGCTCGTTATCTGGCTTCTTTAACATGCTGGTCATGACCCCTCAGCAACCCTGGGGGTTTCCAAGCACAGAAACCACCCCCGACACTTACTTTGAAACTCCCTCCACGAAATCTGCAGACTCCTTTTCCGGGACGGGTGCCACACACTGGCCCTGGGCCAGGTGTGCTGCTCTGCACTCAGTGGTGTGCAGGTGAATGGCTCAACAGCCTGGACTTCAGATTTTCAGCATTTGCAGGTTTCTGTGGCCTGAATACCCTCACCACAGCTTGTGTCACCACACATGGCATTGGGAAGACATGAGCACAGCCGCCCCAGCACACAACAGTTTGCATGAAAAGGATGCCTGGTGAATGTGGTGGAAAATAAGTCACCATCACCACGCCAGGGGTTCAATAAGGTACCAGACAGTCGGAAGCCAGCAAAAATTTACCATCTACCACACTAGTAGCGGAGAAGGAAAAGAGGAAGAAATGAATTCACTTCTATTGAAACTTAGGAAATTTGGCTCCAAGAGTTGACAGCTCCCAAGTCTGGAAACTCAGACTGCACATGCGTTTCTGCATATATTATGTGAAATATTTTTGTATCAAGCAGAGACGCAGGAAGCCTGTTTCTCGGTGGGACTCCATTCTCCCACGCCATATGTGCAGTGTCACATTTTCCAACTCATTGCTGTTTTGGTGGCATGTGAGTCTTTTAGAGGCAAACCTCGATGACAGTAGCTTAAGCAGGACCTTGAATAAATCGTACGGTACTTACCAGGAGGCATCGTGCAATGTTGTGAGAACATTTCCAGAGCGCGCTTCAATCTCTCAGTATCTTGCAGAAGCAGCAGTGTTTTCAGGTGGTGCAGGACGGACACGTCTGAGGGCGGCATGCTGTGTGACGCAAGACGGTCCAGCAGTTCCTCAGTGGCATCGGCGAGGGCGGCTGAAGCTGCATCTCTGGAGACACCTACATAAAGTCAGTTTTGCTTGGAAATACAGTTTTGTTTTTATTTCTACAAAGATAAGCTTTCCTCTCTTAAGGAAGGCCTCAAACCTACGCTTCCACATAGAATGAGATGTCTGGGAGATGAGAAGCTACCAGAAGAAAGAATCAGAACAGAGCTCAGTACAAACCCCACTGTAGGAACGACCGTGGAAACCTGGCCTGTCTACGCGCCTGTCTGGTGAGACGCCTTCCCTGGCCCATCTACGCGTCTGTCTGGTGAGACGCCTTCCCTGGCCCGTCTACGCGTCTGTCTGGTGAGACGCCTTCCCTGGCCCGTCTACACATCTGTCTGGTGAGACGCCTTCCCCGGCCCGTCTACGCGTCTGTCTGGTGAGATGCCTTCCCTGGCCCGTCTACCTGCCTGTCTGGTGAGACGCCTTCCCTGGCCCGTCTACCCGCCTGTCTGGTGAGACGCCTTCCCTGGCCCGTCTACCCGCCTGTCTGGTGAGACGCCTTCCCTGGCCCGTCTGCGCGCCTGTCTGGTGAGACGCCTTCCCTGTCCCGTCTACACATCTGTCTGGTGAGACGCCTTCCCTGTCCAACACACAACTCAAGGCCATGAACAGCAGCAGGATAAACCAGACGATGAAACCAAGCTCTCTATGTCACATAGCTTTAAAAAAAGAATCAGACTGTGGCTGTTTAGAAGAAATCAAGGAGACCTGAAAACCAGCCCCTGACTTCCCCTCAGTCTGGTGGCTGGTCTTGTTTCTCTGGCTGCTGTTCAGCAGTTCGACTGCAAAACGTGGTCGCCTGTGGTGGTTTCGGCATTAACCCTGCTTGGACTTGGCAGGACTTCTTCAACCTGTGACTCTGTGTCCCGTAACGATTGTGTAAAACTCCCAACGGTCATGTCGTTCTGTCCCGCCCCTGCTCTGTCCTCTCCTGTCCACCTGGGCCTGTTGCAGACGCCGGACTTCCCGCTCCAGGTCTGCTGGGCTCTTTCCTGTGTTTTCCATCTGTTTTCTCTCCACCCTGCATTCTGGAGACTTTCTTTCACCCGTCTTCCCGGTCACTAATTCTCTTTTAGGCGAACCCCATTTGCCGTTTCCCTGTCTTTTGAGGCCTGAATTTTTGTTACCATATTTCTCGGGCCTACAATTTCCATTTGATTATTTTAGTAGATTCAAATTACCTGGCAAAATGCTCCAATTTTTTTCCCCCCTTACTTTAAGCTCCTTGTCTGATAACACCAGTATCTCCTGCTCCAGCTCTACTGCTCTTTTTCTCTTGTTTTCGGTGCTGTGGTCCTGTTTCGTGGCATGCCTGGTAAACTGTTGCTGAATGCATAGGAAAGACTGCAGAGGTCTAGGATGGTGATATTTTCTTCTAGAGGTCTCACCCTTTGCTCTGCCAGGCAGACAGAGCAGAGGTGGATCCCCTGGACTGTGCAGGGACTGAGCTGACTCCAGGGTGGCCACACATTTGGGACAGGGCTCCAGAGTCAGGCCAGTCCTCATCTGATCAGCATCTCAAGATGGCCAAGAGGCCCCTGCATTATTCGGAGGCTCTGTATGGCTTCTCATCTTCCACCCACAGCTTCAGAATTGGGCAAAGGCTCTAAGGGAAGCCATGCAGGGTGTTGAGTTCTGTTCTCCGACCTCCGAGCCCACCTGCCCCGGCTCCGACCTCTGAGCCCACTGGTCCCGGCTGTGACCTCCGAGCCCACCGGCCCCGGCTGTGACCTCTGAGCCCACCCACCCCGGCTCCGACCTCCAAGCCCACCGGCCCCGGCTCTGACCTCTGAGCCCACTGGTCCTGGCTCCGAACTCCAAGCCCACTGGTCCCCAGGCTCCGACCTCCGAGCCCGCCGGCCCCGGCTCTAACGTCCGTGCTCACCAGGCTCCAGGCTCTGCTTTTGGTATCTCCACCTGTGAGGCTGGTTTTTCTGCCTCTCTGGGCTTCACCAGGTCCTTTCCCCAGACCCTCACCCAACGCCCACACTCAGGACTGGCAGATTCCTGAAGACAAGTGGCTGCGGATGTCTCCATGATAATCTCCCCGTGGGGGTTCCAGGAGTTTCATCTTTCTATGAGCCGATTTCCTGAGGAGCTTCCTGATTCCTTCAATAGGTATTTCTCAACCTGGCTTTTTGGTTACTCCTGGCATGATTGTTGGTCTGCCCCAAGGTGCTTGATCACACACAGAATAGAAAGTTTACTGAGATCTTTCCGAATTCTACTTCACTTTGCAGTGTCTTAGCCACGTCTTCCTGATGTATCATCTGGATGTGTTTTCAGTTTGTTAATATAATCTGCTGAGAAACATGCTAAAGAGGAAGAGGCTCGAGTGCTCTTCGTACTGAAATCAATCTATTAAAAATGGTACTTCTGCATCACTGTTAAAAATCAGTTACTTAATTCCCAAATTATTACATAGCTGATACTTCTTAATCTTGTTCATAACAACGCTGTCAAATGCCCTGCTTAAATCTGGATCTGCTAAACCCACATTAACCTGAACCTGCTGGTGACATCATTAAAAAGACACCTATACTCACAAAAATTAAAAACTATTAAAAAAAAATTAAAGAGAAAAAAGCCAGGAAGCCCCTGGTGAGCATCTTTGTTCTGGGGCAACCACGTGTCCCTAGGTCAGCTGTCAACACAGCAGAGTGCAGATGTAAGCAAGCGCCATCTGTGACATTAAGCCTGTGCTTACTTTCCTTATGTCAATACAAACAACTGCACAAAAATGTTTGCTGAGAAATCACGCATCCATTCTACGTGGAAGAGAAAATGAAACCTGTCCTAAAGGCGCAAGCTGTGTTTCCTTCACCTCTCAGTCTGCTTATGAAGGTGAGCTCAGCTCATCAAAACCTCTAATTTCGATTTATCTCTTGTTTAGAAAAACAGCCTGGATGCCAACACACTCCAAAACCTGACCTGAGGCATGGAGGACATGGGGCCAGCCTGTTCTTGGCGCAGGCCACGGCCGCCACACTGCTTTTCTGGATGTGCCAGGGGCACAAGCCCGTCCACATCATCAGTGGAAAGCACGTAAATACTCTGATCTTTGCCTTATAACTAACCATTTACATTGAATATTTTTAATGTATGTTTTCACATTTAAACATTATATTTCTTTCTTTTAATAAACTTTTAAGTGGATGTCTCTATGCAAAACAGTAAAAAACATACCGTCATAAAAATACATTTCCTGTGTTGACTTCAAAAAATTTAGAACACTATCTGCCTTTTCATTGGTAACTGTATCATCTTCCTCCCCGGCGTCCGCACCATCGTCCTCCCCGGCCGGTGTCGGGTCTTCCTCGCTGGCGTCGGCGCCGTCCTCCTCCCTGGCCAGTGTTGGGTCTTCCTTCCCAGAGTCCGCACCGTCCTCCTCCCCGGCGTCTTTTACGTCTTCCTCCCCAGCCGGTGTTGGGTCTTCCTCCCAGGAGTCCGCACCTCCCTCCTCCCCGGCGTCTTTAATGTCTTCCTCCCCGGCCGGTGTCGGGTCTTCCTCGCTGGCGTCCGCACCTCCCGGCTCACCAGCCTCTCCCATGCCTTCCCCTTCACTGCTGCTGTCCTCCGGCTGGTACATGAAGCTGACACCAGCAGCCTTTGTTGCCAAGCCGGCTGCTTTCTTCCTTTTAATTTGCTGTTTCTTTTTCAGTTTCCTTTTTTTATTTTTGCTTATCGTGGGCCCATCTGTGTGCTGTCGCTGAAATTTCTCCTGTAACAGACTCTGCTGTTTCTCTAATTCTGCTTGTTCTACAAGAACACTGTTGGGATTTTTAAATTTTTTCTTTGACTTATGCTTCCTAATTCTTCTTCTCTTTGGCTGGTCATGAGGATCCTGATCTGTTAAAAAAAATCAAATATAACAATTTTCAGTACAATGAAACCATAACAAACGTATGAGGCTAAATAAATTTTCCATCAGGATCTTGTAGTTTTAGTAGAAAAAGAGTTTACACTATTTACTTCAGTGATTCTCAACTTCACCATCAAAGATCCTGGGATTAACAATAATATAAATTAGCAGCCTACTTTTTTTTTCCCCATAAAAGACACATTTAGATGTATATACACTCACAGATGCTACGATCATAATAAATGGTGTGTTTTGAAGGATGTACAAGGTGTTGCTTTTTTTTTTTCCTGAGACAGAGTCTTAGTTTGTTGCCCAGGCTGGAGTGCAATGGCACAATCTCGGCTCACTGCAACCCCTGCCCCCAGGTTCATGCGATTCCCCTGCCTCAGCCTCTCGAGTAGCTGGGATAACAGGCACGCACCACCACGCCTGGCTAATTTTTGTATTTTCAGTAGAGATGGGGTTTCGCCATGTTGGCCAGGGTGGTCTCAAACTCTTGGCTTCAAGTGACCCACCTGCCTCGGCCTCCCAAAGTGCTGGGATTACAGGAATGAGCCATTGCACCTGGCCAGTTATTGCATTTTTAGAGTAAAATTTCATTTCTATGGGCCTTGGGGTGGGGGGGGG